ATGTCCATTGGTAAATAAATATGTATAATTGTGTTATACATGCACCACAATCGTTATAATTTTAGGCTTTGATAAGAAAATTAGTTTTAAAATCACAACTACGATTTATGTTAGTTACACCACAACTTTATGTTTTTCTTATTTACTTAAATATTCTTAAGTAAAATAACATTAATGGGGTTTTAATTTATTTGCACGTAAAATAATTTATTGTTACACGACAATCATAAACCAAATTCTTTCTTTCTTTTCTCTAAACAGTCGTGTCATAACTTTTCCATTGACGACTTTTTTGCTTTTCTATAAAGAAAAATATTTATCAAATATCAATTTATATATGAAAAATTGCAACAGCGGTCCCTTATCTTTTCAATTTTTGCAGACTTATGCTAACCTTCAATTTGTACCAACGGAGGTCCCTAATCTTTCTGAAATAGGCATATAGAATCCAAATAGATGAAATTCATCTAGTTGACCATTAATTGACCAAATCATAAAAGGGAAAAATAACAACTTAAGAATTTTAATATAAAAAATGAAATATTCTCTTGTATCTATTTCTTCCCACCTCATTCTATCCCCACTTACCCAAAAATGGGAAAAACCAATTTCATCACCACCTCCACATACAGTCGCTTTCGTCCCTACCTCGAACTAACTCCATAATGCATCCAATGTAGTCATAGCGAAGATTGATATTTTGAGGGTAATATGCTTGCTTGAAAGGTAGCGGAGGGCATCGGGGTCAAGGTGGAAGCCTGCGGTGAAAGTGAAGGAATCCCATGGGTCGTTTGTGGTGGAGGTACAGAGAGGAAGGAGTGTTTTTTGTGAAGGAGAGTTCTTGATATTAAACTTCACATAGCATGTGGTGGTGGATGTGTCGACTCCAGCCAGACTTGTCGATTTGGTGGCGAAAAGAAGTTTAATGGGTCAATATAGAGGTTGATTTGAGGGTTCCGCTTTGTGTTGTGATTTGGGGATTTTGCTTTATGTTAACAATAATACTAGTGGACGTGGGCAATTGTGGCAATGGAGGTGGCGATGGGCGGATGTGGATGATGATGGGTAGTAGGGTTTGGTTATGGGTTTTGCTTTGTGTTGTGATTTTGATTTGGGGATTTTATTTTGTATTGGTGGTGATGGTGATGGTGGTGGTGCTCTTGGGCGATGGTGGCGACGAGGGTGACTAGAGTGGTTGTGGACGATGATGGTAGCAGGGGTTGGGTTTTGGATTTTGCTTTTTGTTATGATTGTGATTCTGGGGATTTTGCTTTGCGTTGGCTGTGATGGTGGTAGTCGTAGTTGATGGTGGCGACGACGGTGGGCGAATGTTGAAGGCAGCATGTAGCAGGTGGGTTTGGTTTTGGGAAGGTATAAAGGTGGGTTTAGATGGGGATGGGGTAGGGTAGGTGATGGTTTTGCTCTTATTTTAGTCACGTCCAACTGTATCCGAAACTCAATGATTTTTGAAGCTCTCGACCTTTTGTTCAATGCATATGTAATTTCAAATATATATGGCCCTTCCATACTTTCCTTTGAATCGATTTCTTGATTAACATACTTGATATTTGTTTTCTTACGTCCACTCGACTTTCTTATTTGTGGTTGTGAATTAGTATGTACCTTGATCTCCTGTTGACTTGGCCTTATCTCCTCTAGTGCTGTTGTCTTATGCATATGATCTGTCTGCCAAGGATTTTGTATTGCGCTAGTTGATTCTTTCTCATCATCTATTATTGTGCATCTTTTGTTCTTCGGAACTTTGTTGTTGTGCTTCTGTGATCTCCTCTTGCAGTTTGTCTTCCAGTTCATTTAAATCTAACAACTCTTTCCTCTGTGGTGTCTGTCAAGAATATGCTTCTTCGAACACTTATTCTAAGTCTTCTCCCTCTATGGAATCCACCAAGAAGACTTTTCACGAACCACGATGTCCTCTTCCGAGTCGTCGATCCAATTATCTTTGCAATTCATTTGTTCAGGCAGCACTACCACCAACGATGATTCATCATTTATACTTGAATTG